GTGCTCACGTTTTGAAAAATGAACATTTCCAACTCCCTGGCAGTGACTGCATGGGATCTTTCATTAGTTGTGACCTTAGTCATGAAGTCAAAAGGATTAAAGAGGTCTGCCGCAATTTGTGTTACCATAACATCAGCAAAAACATCACAGCAGGATATCCAATATGTTTACAAGGCTGCCAAGTTTCATTTATCAATGGGAGTCAGACGGTGGGGGCTGGGAGTGGTGTGTGTGCATGGGGAGGTGTTGGAGTTTTGCAGTACTTTAACTGCAAAAAAAAAAAATCTCTGAACCTTTTTTAATATTTTAAATGGATAAAACAACAAAATTAAAATGTTCCCGCAGCTGTGAAAGCAAAATTCGACCTTAGTGTGATTTAACTATAAAACTGTGACTGTGCTGAAAAGTAAAGACTGTGATACACCAGCAGGATACCGTCTCTGCATCAAGTCATGAATAATTTATAGAGTTACCACTGCTGTGCCATGTTGCATTCTTGCACAGGATCCTTTTAGGTCACCCTGTGAAGATGTAGGTATTTCATAAAATTAGAAAATGATATTACCCTCTTAAAGAGGTTTCCGATCAGATAGATCCCTGTGGTTATTATGCTCTCTCTGACACAACTTTCCCATTATAGGAAAGTTATTATGGTACTGTAGGGTGGCTTGTTCCCGCTGAGGCAAGGTTTAGGTTGTGTCTCAGAAGGACAGTTTCTGGATTTTTCATGTAAGTCTAACGTGTTATCACTACACAATAATCAAATGCACTCAATTAGCTTATCAAAATCAGATGGTTTGCCAGTTTGCAGGTCAGAATGGAGATGTTTGGCCATAATACACATTATCATGTCTGGAGGAAACTAAATACAACATAACAGCACAACAACTGTGAAGCTCGGTGGTGGAGAGGTCCAGATTTGGGCTTGTTTTTGCAGCGACTGGGCACCTAGCAGGCACTGAGTTGACCATGAACGCATCTGTATAACAGAGCTGAAGCAGCTAAAGCTTCACCAAAATTAGGACATGCAACAGGACAATGATCCCAAGCACAGCAGCGAATCTACAACAGAATGTCTGAAAGAAAACAATCCAGGTGACATAATGGATCAGTCAAAATTCAGATACCTACCTTACTGAAATGCTGTGGCAGGACCTTTAGAGAGCTGCACATACACAAACCTCTATAAACTGAAGAAAGGATAAGAAAGAAAGTAGAGTGTGCCAAAATTCCTCCACAGTGATATGAGAGTCATGCAGAAAGTGATTACTTCAAGTTACTGCTGCTACAGGTGGTTCAACTAGCTACTGAATCACAGGTTGTAGATGGAAAACACTGAAATAAGTGAAGTATTTGCTATGTGAGTCAAAATAATTGTGAAAAACTAATACTTTACTACATCTTCTTCAAAATCAGTTCAAACAGTAATAAACAATGAGAAGAAGCTCATTGCCCACCATAAAGAAGGTGTTAAAGAATAAGAAAATATATTAATTCCAATACAGGTGGTGGCTGTATGTAGACAGGTGCAAGCAAGTGGTGTGCAATGTAAATAGTTTGAATGGCCCTCTTTCAGACACCCAGTAGAAAAGCTGCAATAAGATCCAAATGATTACATCTTCCAATCCATAAACATTTTCAGTATTACACTTGGATTCTGAGCTTTTTGGATGGCAAGACTGCAACCTCCGCCTAAAAACAATTGATCTCACGATCCAGGAGAAAATTAATTTCTGAATTATCATGTCAGAAACTGTTGAAATGCCTCATTGCTCTCCAGCGTGACCTTAGACCACCTCAGTGATTCAGCTTCTTGGCCCATTAGGCAAGCACACCTATTAGTCCATGGTGATGAAAGAAAGAGCAGATGCATCAAGAAGAAAAAAGACTGAAGTAAACAAAAGACTAGATGATGTAGCTGGTTTTCCCCTTTCCAGCACAAAGCCTAGTACAGTATATCATGGATTCCATGGGTCTGAGTCAAACGTACCCCCTCCTCTCCCCTCATCCAGTGGACTCTCCCAACAACCCAGCCGTTTGTTGCTGTTGAGAGGGAAGTGATGTCAGTGTCGACACAGTGGGGGGAACCCGAGAGGATGCACCCAGCCAGAACCCTGCCTATATGATGTCAGAGACTGTGTGTGTCAGACATCAGCCCACACTACTGTGGAACAGACAGAGGGTATTATGGTACTGGGCTCCTGTCTGTCTCCCTACATTGCTGAGTGATTATATTCTACACAGTAACTGCTATACATATTGCTACGCTGACAACATTGTGCGTGTGTGTGTGTGTGCACTTCTCAGAACTGATTAATAAAAGTATCTGATTTTCTGCTTTTGTGTCAGAGTGACATTCCTGTGGCCTCATCTCTGTTGCAATCTATGATTGAGGTTTTTGTGGTCATGTTTTAGCATGAGTCTTATCCGTAACCAAGTTTCATCCCAGCTGCATGTGGTCACCTTAAACTGACGCATTGTACGTAAGAATAATGTGTGTCACCTAACCATGGTGTTGCTTTCTCACATATCCAGTACATAAACCGATAACATTTCTATAGCTTCCACCGTCAAGAAGAGAAAGAAAGGGTTTAAAATGTTATAAGTAGGATAATATTAATAGGCATACTGTGAAATGGTGGTGTTAGTCTATATGGGTTTTGGTACTGTTAAATTAATTAAAAAAAAAAAAATCTATGGATTAATTCATCTTAACGTATTCATGAAGTAAAATCAGGCATCCCAGACACAGACTCCATTAAAAACATGCAGGCATAGATAAATGGCTGAAAGAGTTGTTAAAAAATAGATTGCCCAAACTAATGCTGATGCGTAATGATTAGAAAAAAAACAAATCATGACAAACACCTGTAAGGTAAATTTAAATGTAAGGAATGAACAGATACTTAAATCGCTAAAAAGTGTTGATGAAGCATGTTGATGAAGCCGTTTATGTACAAGATGGGGTGGGATCACATCAGGGATCGCCTCTGAGCTCCTTCTTGCTTGTGATGGTGATGGACAGGCTGGCTGATGAGTTCAGGCAGGAGTCTTCGTGGACTATGATGTTTGCAGATGGTATTGTGATCTGTAGTGAGAGTAGGGAGGAGGTGGAGGAGAGCAGAGGAATGAAAAAAAAATACATGTGAAAGCATGAGAGGGAGGCGGGTAGGAAAGTGAAGTTGTAAAGAGCAGAGGGCCTTAAGGTAGATGAGTTTAAATTACAGGGGACAACAGGCAGTGCACACGAGAGGTGCAGAAGAGAACGCAGGCAGGGTGGAGTAGGTGGAGACAAGTGTTAGGGCTGATATGTGACGGAGGGATAGCAACAAGAGCAAAAGGGAAGGTTCACAAAATGGCAGTGAGACCTGCATAACAAAAACTTAAGACTTAAGTCAGATTGAGATCCATTGAAATTTCATGTTCCAATGAGCCAAAATTCCTCCAAAAGGATATGAAAGAGTTATTTTTCAGATTGCAGTTATTGATGCAAAGGGTGGCACAACCACCCATTAGGCTTATGGGGCAATGAGTTTTTCACATAGGACTAGGTAGGTTTGGATTGCTTTTTTTCCCCCTAATAAATACAATCATAATTTGACAGCTGCATTTTGTGTTTAATCACCTTATTTTTGTCTAATATTGAAATTTGTTTGATGATCTGAAATATTAGGAGTGATAGAAAGGCATGTCACTTCTAATATAGGAAGGATGCTGTCTTTCTCAGTATGCCTTCTCTTTTTTCTTTACCCCCATACAGTTATTCCCTAATTTCAAGAAAGCTCCTGGAAATGACATCACTCAGTCAGGTCACCCACAAGCTGAGCAGCCCATATGTTTCTATGGTTGGTCTAAGAGCCTCTTGTTGTCTGTCAGTAGGCTTGCCAACACTCAAGAGATCAAAGATGTGCTTGTCAGACACATTCCTCTCCCTATCTATCACGATAAAGCCTGCAATTAGGTATTCCCACCTTCCCTCCTCCCTCTCTCTTTCGTCTTTTTTCTTCCTCTGTGTCAGACAGACATCTCCATTCATCTGCTGCTAAGAGAGCTGTATCCTGACAGGCTCTGGCCATTGTACCAAACATTACCCAATGTGTGTGTGTGTGGTACAATCTAATCACACAGCAACAATGGTTGTTTTGTGCTGCCGTATCCAGGCATAACCATGAACTGTTATTGAAGCCATCATTCAATAGATACACAGCTCTTCTGTTTTCTTTGAGACATGCAGCACAGATAATGGTGAGGAGGAGAGCTGCCTCGCCTAGTAAAGTGACACCTTTATATTAGGTCTGGAGGAAGCTGCAGTTTAACAGCAGCAAAGGTTGTCATCAGTGAGAAACTCACCCTTAATCAGCATCCAAGAAATGCTTTTCATCCAAGTGCTTGAAACAAATTGGTAAGGTGCTTTGCTGACAGTAAGATTGTTTTTGATTTTAAATGATTAGTTGCAGCTTGGAAAAACAAAAAAGGTTCTGTGGCACAGTGGTTAATGTATTCAACTTAGGTTTAAATGATCCCCAGTTCAACACCTGGAAGAGACACGAGCGGACTCCTACTAGCAAACTGCTAGTGCTGGTCCCAAGCTCAGATATACAGGAAGGATATCTGGTCAAAGATTGTTTGCAGTGTGGTTATTGAGGAATTACTTCTATTAAAGTGGGTTTTCCTTTTTTTTTGGTACCACAAGCTGTTGAAGTTAACAAATAGAGGGTGGAAATTGCAGGGACCCCCCCTTCAGATAAAATAACATTGAAATTAAAGTTCTCATGCTAATTCTAATTATTTAAGACAAAACATTTTTACAACACGAGTAAAGAGCATAATGGCTGCATGTTTCTGCCAAAAAAAATATGTTCATTTCCTTTTCGGAAAACTGGCAGACTTTACCTGCAATACCTGTAATACAACACTTCAGCAATGTGAAACGATACTCTGCGTGCTGATACATGGATGTGTTCTCACCATTAAGACATTAATCAAAACAAAAACAAAACTAGAGCACATGAAAAAGCTTTATTGTCACACCAAGCTTTGACAAATAAATGTATAGTTTCTGATTTCAAGCTTAGAATGTGCAAACTATTTAGCAATGCCACTGGGAGAACAAGTAGTGAACTCACTGTTATATAACTTATTATAATTTATTAAATATCTTTGTTTGGCAGGATCTTACAAGGAAGCAGGAAAATACACAAGTGAGAAGAAGTAAGGTACAACTCTCGAATCTTTTTTGTTGTTTTTTTTTCTTGTATAAACGCCCCAAAATAGGAGTTAAAGAGGGAGGCAGAAAGTAACAATGGGAACGAGTGTAACAAAAACAGATTTTACGGCATCTGCTTCTAAACAGCAGTCTTAGCGGGTTCAGATTCAGCTTTCACAAATACGACAACATTAGCGCTACTGTAGGTCATGTGGGGTGAGCAGGAATGTAAAGTAGATCAAGAATGAAAACAGAAGAAGAGGGGCAGGGTGCTGGGAAAAACCTGGGAAAGTCCTACAAACTAGGCAGTCACACCAGGAGAGAATCTATACAGTGAAGCACTCAAGTGTCTGTGACTTTTAATACATTCCTTTAATGTAAACCAGTATATATACTGTCCCTCACCTCTCAGGTTAATACTTCAATGTGTGATTTCTGCTCCCATTTTATTTATATATATATATATATATAAAAAATCCATTGTATTTTTTTTCTATTAATATTGTAATGTGTAAACAATTCATACAGAACAAACACCTTTAAGATTATATGACCATAGGGCAGCCTAGAGATTTAAGCAGGAACAAACAAGGCATCTGCAGAGGCCTCTAGCATACTGTGAGGCAGTGTGGACACACATGAATCACTGCTGCAACATTACTGTAGGCCGGCACAAGGAGGAGGAGGAGAGTAACAATGTTAAGCTTTAAAAGTTAGATTGAGCCATGCAGGCGAACACCACCGACAACACGTAGTTTTATAATAATACATGTGAGACTGTGGTATATTACAGTGTTTCAAACTTAAATTTGACGACCTTGCAGCATCATGTCATCCTTCAGTCCCTCATTAGGGGAAAAACAGAAAAAACAAACAACAACAACAATAAATAAATACAAACATCCAAATGTATCCCATTAATTTGTAGATTGATTTTAGGTCCACAGAGGAGGGATAGGAAACGCCCAGTCTCTCCTCAGGCTAAGTCCAAAAGGGGAGGGGGGGTAAGAAAAAAAAAAGTGCTTCTCAGCAAGTAGCTGGTAGTGTTGTGCATGTGGGGGCTGGTGAGTAATGAGGGTGTGTGTGTTACACTGATGAGGTGGGGGTAGGGGGGCAGGTTACTGTACGGAAGTTGTGGTATTCATACTTGTCGACTCCTCGAGGTGACTGTGGAGCAATGTGTGAGTCCAGGCCTGAGCTACGCAGATGTTGCTAGCCTGCGGTTTTACGACGTGCAGACAGAGCCGGTGTCTTTAATTACTCAATGATCTGCTATCTGCGTCACTGGATCTTCCCCAAGACTGGACGAGGGCCACTAACACAGCTGACCGGCGTACGCAATTAACTACTGAACTGCAGAGGGTGATCAGTCACCCAGCTTAGTAGCGGTAAGCCAAAGTGACCATTTCCTCCACAAGTAAAAGCAGCATTTCATGTTGGATTAGATACTCCACCTTCAAAAAAATAAGGCATATTTATATTTACATCTATAAAAAGAAATAGAAAAATAATCCTTGTACATACATACAAAGATTATTTTTTCTTTTCTTTTTTAATAAATCCTCACTATGTCTCATTCTCCTCTTTAATATTTTACTAAGTATGACAACCAAGTAGATTGCTACTAGAAGAAGCAGGGTTACAGTATTAGGTAAAACTCTTATTTATTCAGTGGCCAAATAAATTTGCTCATGATCATCATCGCAAAAATGACAGCACAGTTCATTAAACTACAGAGGTGGGCTTAAACAGAGTTTTATCAACCTCTCTGTATGGCAGCGTAGTGAATCATTTAGAGAAAAGCTAAATGTACTTACTGCAGCACAACTCTAGTGGATCAAGACAGTAACGGAATTGTGTTCATGTATTTGTGTGGATGCTGTAAAGCATCCCATCCACCCAGTCCTCAGACTGGGAGGCCCGGGTTCAAATCTCGCTAATGGCAACAATTCTTTCAGTTAACAGTTAAACATTTTTAACTCTTTTCAACACAAATTTTATCTTCTTCACCCCTTTTCAGCACAAATCCCAGCTTTTTCAGCTGTTTTCAGAAAAAAAACTCTTTTCAGCAGAAATTCTGCTCATTCACCTCTTTTCAGCAGAATTTTCAGCCTTTTCACCTCTTATCAGCACAAATCTCAGCATCTTCTGCTTCTGCTTTTTGTAAGAACGAGTTTGGGAGTTTGGGTCAGTGAGATGAGTAGCCGCCTTGAGGCCAGGAGGGCCAGGTTCGAATCCTGCTCATGGCAACATTTCACCTCTTTTCAGCAAAAATTTCAGTTTCTTCACCACCATACAATTTTTGCAACTTTTCATCTTTTTCAGCTATTTTCAGCAGACAGCTTCAGCGTTACAGCATCCACACAGCATTTTTGCAGGAAATGCAAATTTTTCTAGTTTGAAATGGTTCTAATAATCAAAATGTGTTTGTCTGTGCATATGTGCACGTGTACAGTTGGTCTCTCAACATGTGGAAATACCACCAGAGAGGTGGTGTGATGACATTATCCACCCAGCAGCTGTGGGGATTCCCAGTCTGTCTTTTCTCCCAACACACTGCATCTCCCTCTGGAAACACACCGGGTGGGTCTTCCCCCACTTCTCCTTGTAGCTTAAGCACAGCAAGGTCTGAGGCCTTTGATTCAATAGTGTAGGCGAGCAAAGGAGACACCTCATTAAATCAACACAGGTTACACATACAGGCCTGATAACTGATGAAACTGCAGCAACAAAACAGAAACTGGGGAGAAAAAAAAAACAAAAAAAGAAAACGGGAAAAGATGGCATGCCATACACGCAATGCAACACACGTGCTGCCCACATTTGTGAGAGGGAGTTCAGATTTGTGGGGCAACCTTTAGGGGCTCATAGAGGTTGCAAAGCCCTGTTTGGAAATAATGAGAGGAGAGCAAGGAGGGAAAAAAAACAGAGGCCTTAGGTGCGCTCCAGAAGCCACTGGAAGAGGGAGATGCAGTGAGGTTCTTTGCTGGCCTCAAGTGCCTCTTCTCTGGCCTCGGGCTGACTGTGGCTCACATCACAGTAGCGCAGCAGCATGTGCAGCAGCTCACCCACCTTCCACTTCCTCTCTCGAAGCCTCTGGACCACCGCTGGGAGCTGAAAGGACACATTGATTATACAGTAATCTCAAGGCATTTATCTTGTATTGAAAAGACTTCATAATATTAGAAAGAGCAAATGCTTGGCAATGTCAGGGAGGAAGAACTCCCTCTTGTTGTGGAGTGAGAGGGAAAAGGAGAGATACCGAGCAACAAACTGAACAAAACATAACTTACAGGAGAGAGTAAATAAAAGTTAATGAGATGCAATAGTGGCATAAAAACACAGAGTGTGAAATGTGGGGATTGAAGGAGAATTGCTGAGCGCAGCATGGGAAGTCCCCAAGCAGCCCAAGCCTACTGCAGCACAACTAAGGGGGATGTTCAGGGTCACCTGAACCACAGTAAGCTGGGTTTGTAGAGAGGGACTGTGTCCTAAATCTAAACTGGGACCTGGTTTCACGGGAGGCCTGACAACTGAAGGCTCTGCCTTCCATTCTACAGGGTGGGCCATTTATATGGATACACCGTAATAAAATGGGAATGGTTGGTGATATTAAAGTCCTGTTTGTGACACATTAGTATATGTGAGGGGGCAAACTCCTCAAGATGGATGGTGACCATGGTGGCTATTTAGAAGTTGGCCATCTTGGATACAACTTTTGTTTTTTCAATAGGATAAGGCCATGTGACACATCAAACCTATTGGTAATGTCACAAGAAAAAGAAGTGTGCTTGGTTTCAATGTAACGTTATTCTTTCATGAGTTATTTACAACTTTCTCTTTGTTCACAGTCATTGACATGTTGAAGAGGTTAACACGTGAGGAGCAGATCGAAATTGTGTTGATATCTGGTGAACGCAGTAACCAGGTCATTGCAGCAGATTTCAATGCAAGACACCCTACGAGACCACCCATCTCCCATGCTACAGTTAGCAAACTGCTTGCTAAGTTTCGTGAAACTGGTTCAGTGTCGGATTTGCCAAAATGTGGATGCAAGAAAACTGTCACTAATGAAGAAACATCAGTGGCTGTCCTAGCTTCATTCAGCAAGAGCCCACAGCGTAGCACTCGCCGCATGTCACTGGAGAGTGGCATTAGTCGAACATCCCTTCGGCGGATATTAGGTACTCACAAATGGCACCCTTACAAACTCCAGCTGCTGCAGCATCTCAACGAGGATGACCCAGATCAGTGCACAGAATTTGCAGAATGGGCAAAACAAAAATTGGAACAGGACCCTCAGTTCACGCAGAAGATTTTGTTCAGTGATGAGGCAAACTTTTATGTGAATGGTGAAGTTAACAAACAAAACCACCGCTATTGGTCTGACACTATCCCACATTGGATGGATCCCTCCAAGACTGTTGGAACAACAAAAGTGATGGTTTGGTGTGGTATATGGGGTACAACGATAGTGGGTCCATTCTTCATCAATGGAAACCTCAAGGCCACTGGATATTTGAAATTGCTACATGATGATGTGTTTCCCTCTTTATGCACTGAAGCTGGCAAGTTCCCTGAGTTTTTCCAGCA